ATTTAAAGGCTGGCTGCGCTTTTCGGCCCTATAAGCTCCATGACTTCACCTCTAGATTACCGACATATCTGCACTCTCCCAAGTAGCTACTCGAACATAGAATTTCCAGATATTTTCCGGTTTTTATCTATCGTAGAAAGACAACCTGTGGAAGCGTCCACAATTATTGGCCCGCGTTCGACAGAGAGGAATCAAGCCAATACCAAAGAAAAAGAAAAAACTGCATACATATGTGTGCCTTGTCCTTCAAGCCCCTTAATTCTGCTCTCGTTTCCCTAAATTCTGCAAGTTTTTGGGTTTGGAATGGTTCTTTAAGCTCGTGCGTGGAGGCCGCTGTCTTTTTATTGGCTAAAAAGTAAAAACCAGAGAAGGTTTTGACGTAATGCCGGAATCACACGCTGACTGTGAGAGCTGAATGTGGCTTGAATGTGGACGTCATCGGCCCGATGCCTGAATTTTGCGCGTGTCGCGCGAAATTCGGCGACGATTCTCAGCGATAATCGGATAATGACGGATTTGTCTGAACTATTCGAATAGATTTGATACAAATCTGGTTAAAAATAACTCGAATTTGCGAAATTTCAGCCGTTGAGTGATGACTGTTGACTTCCATATTCAGCTGCCAAATTCAGTGTGTGATTCCGGCATCGCACTAACTGGGCAATTTCATTTTTTACAAGAGAACAATATTGTGCGGATTCCTTTGACAATTTCAGTGAATTTGCTTCACGCTATGCAGGAAATTCAATTAAATTTGCACTAAAATCCGCACATCCATTTTCATACAAAAAACCAAATTGCGCGATTAAATTCGGTAGTAGCAGATATGGCTTGGTTCCTTTCTGCTTAGCGCGATCCAATTGCCAAGACACCAACGGAGGGCCCCTCTTCGCCAGGGGGGAAGAGGACACTACCGGTAGCGGATGGCGGAAGTGGCGAGCGGCAGGTCACCCTACACTGACCTACATCAAGGCGCGATTCCGAGTGGCGTCCTTGCAAGGTTTTTCTACTCCCAATCGATGAGCGGATCGTCTCCTCGCGATCCTGGACCCGGGGACCCGCTCGACCGCAGCCGCGACGCACAATGGATCGCGTCGATGGGGGAGCTCGGACAAAATCCGGAATCTTCGAAAGCTCATAACTCGGTTTATACACAAGTTTGACGTTCTGTTCGCGAATCTATTGATTTACTCGTGAATTTTCTTTAAGTTGCACCCTTTGCAATTGAAATGTGACGAAATAAACACGAAAATTTGCAATTTTCGTTAAAAATTTCATGTGAAACAGACTGGATCCTCTGTGCGACGTAGAGCGTGGGCCGCGGGGGCGATCGCGATCGGCAAGTTGAAAACGATCCGCTCTCATCGTCATCGCATCGTCGCGAGCCCGCGGGATGNGGGGGGGGGGGGGGGGGGGGGTTGTGTGGGAGGCCCTCGTCCGCCCACCCTCCGTCCGCGTCCGGCCCCGGCCCGACCGACCGTCGTCGTCGCACAGAGGACAAGGGTCGACAAGACGTGGAAAAGCTAACATATTTGATAATCCGCGACGTAGAGGCTGGAAGAAAGGTTTCGTTGTTCTTTCCATAGGAATTTCAGAGAAAAAGGAGCAGCAATTGGACCGCGTTAAGCGGAGAGGGACCAAGCCACATCAGCTATTGCCCAATTTAATAAAGACTTTGCAGGTGTCTGAAATTTAATAAATTTTGTGTTGGAGTGGAAAGTGGAAAATAACAGAGTTTATTTTTCATCGAAAATACCTCGATTACAAAGACTTTACTCGTCAAAGATTTCAGGACTTGACTCTGCAGATTTTTCTGTAGAGATCGATGAGTAATGCACGACACTTGTTTCTGAAACACACCGACCATTTCGACCCAGAATTTAGTTTTTTTTCTTTAACAAGAAACTTCTTGGTGTATGATAAAACATAATTTCAGGCCGAACTGTTCGGTGTGTTTCAGATTTCAGAAACAAGTGTCGTGTATTACTCATCGATCTCTTCAGAAAAATCTGTTGAGTCAATTTTGGAAATCTTCGACGAAGAAACTTGTCCTTGTTTTCAAGACATTTCGATGAAAAATGAACCCCGTGTTATTTTCCATAAGGGCCCTACGCGGATCAGCCAATCAGACATGGCTCGCAAAAGTAGGGGGCGCAACTCGGCCCACAAGTCAAATTGCTGCTCTTGTTTTCACTATGTACGACTTCCTTGCAGGGGTACCACTTGAAATTAAAACAGTCATGAAATAAACATTGAGATTTGCATTTTTCGTCAACAATTTTCATGTCCGACTGGGCCTGATAACTTGCTCCACTGAGCGTCGGCGCACCACGCGTTTCTTACGCTCGACTACGATTCCGCGGATTTCACCGATTAACCATATGATTCCTAGAAGTCGTTCCCACGGATGAAAAAAATAGTAAAGGCTACTAGATTTCTAGGTGTGCACTCGAAGAAAAGAAACATGATTGTCTACGGTTACCACGGTCGGATAGACTCATTGGCTACATAACATGAGGGATTACGGGAATGTAGCTCTCATGCGTGAGGGATTCGCAATTTACGTACTTCGGCTCTCGTAAAATTTCGCGAAAAACACGATGGTGCCACTGGTTTTCTCCGAAATCAGCTCCAAATCTCCATAAAGCTCTTAAAGTTGCGGCCGTAATTGAGAGGATATCCCATGCTACCCTGAGAATCCACCTCTATATCAAAACAAACGCTATTTGCAAAGATAGGGAGGAAATACATTAGCAGAGTCGCCGTGTTTTCAGATTTGGAATCCCTCAACAAAGAGACAACCCTGTTAATGTATTTTCTCCCTATCTTTACATAGATATTTTGACTTGATACAGAGGCGGACTTTCAGGGTAGCGTGGGATATTCCCTCCATTGCGGCCTCAACTTTGAGAGCTTTTTTTTAAGCTGCGGAGTTGATTTCAGAGAAAACCAGTGGCACCATCGTGTTTCTAGCGAAATTTCACGATGAAATAAATACTTAAATCGTGAATTCCTGACACGTGCAAGAGCTCATTATGCACTGAAGCGCGGAAATATACAGGTTAGACATGTTCTATTGGTCATATTATAGCTTTTTTGATTAGGGGAAGATGGCCGGGCTGACCCTCAGCCCAAAGCTCCATGACTCCCGTACGGTCTTTCCTTGAGGTGCCTCGCACGCTTTGATTCGATTTATTAACATTTGGACCACATTTTGCAATAAGGAACCACTATTTCTGGATCATTTTAGAAACGGCATAAATGCCATTGGTTTCCCTATGTAGAAAAGTGCTTTCATCGACGAGCCAGATATAGCGGCTCTTTATTGCAAAACGTAATCCATTTCATGACCTAAACGAGGATGCAACAACCCAGATTAATCAGAATTGTCTCTTGTATTTCAAGGAATCATCGTGATGAGAGGAAACCGTAGATCCCGCACTTTTTCTGGAAATTCTATCAACATTACAGCCGCAGATTCAATAAAATTATACAGTTCTTGACAATATCTTTCAGAGCCACCGTATATACGAAGGTTCCACGCAGTGAAATTACGTCAAGCAAAAGTTAAGTGACAAACCAATTGCTCAACTTTTTAAGTTACAAGTCATCATTGAAAATAAAATCTTGAAATTTCACGTGAAATATTTAGTGAAATTTCAGAAATTTTTGAGAAATATTGAAAAATTCCGGTTCCTTTTAAATAAAATAATTGACTTTCTTTTATTTTTGTGTGTTTAAGTGCGGGTTGCATACTCTAGCCCCTGAAAAATATGAAACATTTCACAGCCTCCTGAAATTTCACTAAATATTTCACTGAAATTTTCAGTCTTTCATTTTTTTTCTTACGTTCCATGCCACCCTAGGTTCCGGAGCGCAGTTCGAACCATCGTGACGTCATGGAGGAATTGTCTCTCCGGTGGGCGCCGGGATGAGGCGGAGCGGCAACAGGGTAACGTGGGTCCGGGCGCGGCGCGCGGCAAGACCTGGAAATGGCGACGAGCGGTGCGGCAGAACATAGCTTTTGGCATCTCCGTCGAAGACGTGGGTGAGCTAGCGAGGCAGGACCGGGGCTCCGGACCCCTCGCCCCCCTCCCCCCTCCTCTGAAACACTGGGATCACGCGCCCAGCCAGGGCCCAGAGACCGGACACCCAACATCTGTCCGCTCCGGCCAGGAAGGATCCTCGTCCCTTCGACTAGAGTCCCTTTATACTGAGAGTCAAGACAATGCGAATCCATTTCTGATTGGTTAACCGGATTTTAGGCCTTCACAGTGTCACAAACGGGAATAAAGATTACATTTTTACCAATTGCAAAGATTATAATCTGGAATGGACCAGGGAATTACGGGTTCGGCAAGGAACAAACGGAATGAGAGGAGGAATGGAGAAAGGCTTTTGAGAATGGGCCGATCAAAGATTACGAAAAACGTTCAATTTCTGTAATCTTTATTCCCGTTTGTGACATCCATGAGCCGAATTGTCTTGACTCTCAGTATAAAGGGACTCTACCTTCGACCAGGAGCAGCTACTTCAGCGCCTTCAAAACAACGCTTGCGGGAATCATTGGGCCCCTGGAGGGAATGCGAATTTACCCATTATGATGTACATCCCTCGTCAAAACTCCACGTAGAGTACGACTTGTACAATAAAAATTATACTGGTTATAGCGCACTTTCTGCTCTGCGGGCTGATTATTGAAATTGATAGACAAAGTCATAGACAAAAAGGATATGGAGGGCTCCTATTGGTGGAAGCAGGTGATTGCAATGGACAAAGGACGTAGTTAATAGGCGAAGTAACGGAAACCCACGAAAGACCCGATCGTTAGTCCATCATTTACCCCCTTAGCCTATAAGAACCACCCATTTCCACCAACAGGATCGCTCTATACTCCTCATGTCTTCATTGTCTATCGCTTTGTCTACTAATGTTAACAATCAGCCTGCTGGAGAGGATAAGTTAGGATGCAATGGTGAATTTTCTGGGCGGAGACTTACCTAATTCTTTACATAGGTTGATGACTGCGTTGAAGGTTTTGATGGAGAAGTCGACGCGGCAGTCGAGATACCGCAGGTCGGGGAGTTGGACCCTCAGGGTTTTGTGCATGGGCGTGAAGTGGAGGAAGGCGTCGGCTTGGACTCCGTATTGGTCCAGCGTGGATCGCGTTCGCGTCAGCCACATGTTCTTCGCCGGCCACCACAGCGCGTGGTCCGACCAGTTCATCGGCACATCTGCAAAATCCAAAAAGAAAGCCTTAAAAAAATGTCTACTTATCAAAAGGAAAGGTTGCAGTTTTGGCGGGAACAGATGCAGTCCCATTCGCTCGACTAGGCGGGTAGGAATCAATGGAGGATCTGCAGGTGACTGAAATTTGATGAATTTCGTGTTTGAAACGGAAACTATTGAGTGAACTGAACTACGATTGGTTCAGAAATTGAACAAATTGAGAATTTGCATGCAAAATTTGTATTGCTTCATCTGAAAGTGCTTAAAGAGCTGATTTCACACTATTTTTTATGATTTTTCCCTGATATGGTGGAGGGTATAACACTCGATTTAAATGTGAGAAAATGCACCTCCTAGTGACGTCATCTGGCGGCATTTCCCATTTAAACACATGTATTTTAGCAGATTAGATCATTTTGTCATATATTCTCCAATAATTGTTCGTTTCATGAACCAAGGGTATCCTCGTGCTCAGTTCACTCCACAGTTTCCAGTTAAACACGAAATTCATCAAATTCCAGACACCTGCAAATTCTCTATTGGAAAAGGTACGAAAACGTAAGAAATAAACGAATCTGCTAAAATAAATGCGTTTAAACGGGAAATGCCGCCATACGACGTCACAGAACGGCACATTTTCTCACTTTCAAATCTTTTTGTCTATAATTTCCCATTTCTGAAAAAAATTATCAAAAATACTGTAAACTCAGCTCACTAAACGCTCTTAATAATAAAGTATTAAAATTTTGGGGAGCAAATTCTCCATTTCACTGAACTTGTCCGTCGTAAGTCCACAGTGAAACTCAGGAAAGGAGTTATATTCTTACAGAGAATTAAATTGTTTGCATGGATCTTGCAACCTCAGTATTAAGTTACGTCGTCGTATGAAAAACGAATATTTTTTACTCTTTCCTAAGATTTCCATTCAAATAAATATCGCGGATCCAGCAGAGTCATTTGCTGAGTCAAGGTCGTCTTGTCTTTCGCGAACTCCTCGAAACGCACTCGAGGTGGCAAAAAGCGATCGCTGCAACTTTGTTCTCCAATCGCATTTTCAGAATCCGAGGTCGAAACCGGATGTGCTCTCGGCGGCAGATACTCCGCTTCTCGGACATCGGCGCAGCATTTCCGGAAAAGCGTGTCACGTGATCATGCAGGACTGCACCCGCCTTACCGCGCATGCGCTTTGAGATCCTGTCGTTGCAGATTCACGGCCGTTTTCGCAGACGGCGGGGATGGAGATTTCTTCGAATACATCGATTTTACAATAGGCTGATGAAAATCGATTTAAAAACGTTTAAAACCAAAGTTGAGCGTCAACAACACAACTACTATTAAAACTGAACTTGCAATGAAACTCAGGTTTCACAGAATCTTGGCCTTGTGTGAAACAAACGAAGGTAATTTCGATTATTTTCGACAATTCGACGACCTCAAAGAATCGATTCGATTTGACCTAAAATCGATATCTCTCAAAGTGGGGACCCCAACCGCGACGAGTGGCACCGCTCGATAACTTCCCATCATCATCCAACGAAACCAAAATAATGCTCGAGATTTCCACCTCAAGGAAGGAGATCTCTTGGATGGCTTGAGCTTAATAGGAGCAGCGCAGCGTTCAGTGCGTTCAGTCGAAGAAAAAATTCAACTTTTTTAATAAAAATTGAGTGAGGAGTAAAGGTACAAAAAGTTTAGAGCTTCTGAGGGACCCTCTTAAGTCCTGCGCACGGAAAAGTCCCAACTTTTTCGCGGCGAAGCGAGCTTTCACCGTAGTTAGAAATAGTTTTTGGGCAAAATTTGTTGTTCGAAACGTCGAACCCACTAAGGAAAACAAATAAAAGTGACTTGACGATTTTTCCCGGAAATTTTCGTCATTTTCTATAGCATTTCCGTCGTTTTCCCTGACATTTTCGTCATTTACCCTGATTTTCCCTGACATTTCCAAGTTTCCCTGCCTTCATAAAATTCCCTGACATTTCCCGGTATTCCCTGACTCTGGCGACCCTGGGTGTTCCCTGACAGTGGCAACCTTATGCCGTAATCACAAGCTGAATGTGGCTTGAATTTGGATGTCATCGGTCCGCTTTCGCGCAAAATTCAGCAACGATTCTCAGCGATCATCGGATAATGTCAGATTTGTCTGAACTATTCGAATAAATTTGATACACATCTGCATGAAAACAACTCGAATTTGCGAAATTTCAGCTGTTGAACGATAACTGTTGACTGCCACATTCACCTGCCAAATTGAGCGTGGGATTCCGGCATTACTCGGTGCGCTACTTGAAAGACACAATCCCAGACGACCTTGGATTTCCAAAATTCCCTAACTTTTCCCAGTTTCTCCGTTGGCGACCCTGAGAATGGATGCCCAGGGACGAGGGACCTTGACGGGGACGGCGGGGAGGAGGGGACGGGCTCGGGCTCCTGAGGCGTCACATCTGCTCGCTCGCCGCCGACACCTCCGCGCCATGCGGCCCGGCCATGCCACCGGAGAACACAAGTGCAAGCCATCAAGCGTGACGTCACAAGTGCAGTGGCAGCTCCCGTGTTGCCGGGTCGCGGCGCGGACCCCCGAGGACCCCTGGGACGACCCGCGCCCGGCCGAGGACGCGTTTCAGCGCAGCAGCGCACCAGACCGCGAGAGCTAGACGGGCTTGAATTAGATTCCTTTGCGGTCTGCTGCTTCCCCGCGCCGCAACGCAACAGTAGGCCGCGGCGAGGTATCGTCCCGCTGACCGCATACTTCCGCGGCTTCTCTTTTCGCGCTCGAGTCCTTGATCCGGGCGAGAGACCAACGATCGCACTGGAGTTCCAGTTTCAGGGTGAAATAATAGCAGCCATCTTGGCTGCAGGGTGTCTATTGAAACCACAGTTGGGCGCGAATAATCCGGCAATCAATGAAATTTGTGCAGAAACTCTGACAAGACGCTTGGTCCTCAGAATTCTCTACCTGACACCGGAATCACACACTGAATGTGGAAGCTGAATGTGGCTTGAATATGGAAGTCCCTCCTTTATTTGCTATGTGTAATTCCCTTAGAAGCGATGGTCACTTCGAATTTTAGACGTGCGCACCGTTTATAGACCTCTTGAGAGCCCTTTAAACATATTTCTTCCTTTTCAAAAGGACCATTGACTTGGACATACGATAGAATACCTCGGGCAAACTTAACCTTAGATTTATCTCTAAATTCAAAAATAAGAGACATCTTGAGTGTAAACGCAATACAACTTCCCGCAAGATGGATGTCCACATTGCATATTAAAAATGTGAGACGCGATGGCCTGAGTCGTGAAATCGCAATGCTCTGCTCTATGCTGCTAGTTTGAAGCACCATTACGAATAAGACAAACACAAACAAACACAATATGGAAATAAAGCTAGGGAAAGGATGAGCATTAATGACGGCGCAGAGATACAATTATTAGTACTTGATGGACGTCCGTGAAGTATCCGAAAAATTGAAGGCGCGATGACGCGAAGTGTGAGCTCTCAATGCTCTGCTACATGCTGTCAACGAGGTTTCGCTTAGATTCGGGAGAAAAGTTAAAAAAAGAGGCTCGAATACGTCTTTCGTATCTTCGGCGATGTTGATACTCGTTCTTTCTTCTTTTTTCAGGTTCTTGTCTGATTTTTTTGGGGGGATGGATTTGCAGACCCACGTCTTGAGCTCGTGTGAACCGCAGCACTGGCTTGGTTCTTTTGAAAATAATGGTGCTTGGATGCGTCTGGTGGCCTTAATTTTGTATGTTTTTTTTTAATTTCAGAAGTCTGTCGGTTACTTCGATACGTTCAATTTTGCAATTTTTACTCTGCGCGATTAATAAATGTTGAACCTGAAAATAACGTAAACTTTGTGCTGTTTTGCAAACATTTTCTAAACTTCTCTCCACGTAGGGGGATGTCCCACCAGGAAATATCACATTACGCCCCTTTAACCAGCCAAGGGAAGGGTCCACGCCCTCATATGCGAGTCAGTTCGACCCTGCCAACGTGTGTAATTTTTGTCCAAAATTTGTCTGATTTTTGCTTGATATCAGAGCAAAACTCAGCAAAATTTTCAGTTAGAATCGCCCAAGATTCTCCACGCAAAAATACAATTATTGACGAGAGGAAATTTGGCAACATTGAAATGCAGATACGTTCTTTCGTGAAGGAAACGAGGATTTGTTCTACATTCAACATTACCGAACGAACTCAGTGTTGCCGACTTGGACAGAAAAAAGGGTCGCCTCTGGTTCTACGCGAATCTCTCGTGGAAGCTGCCGAAGCCGATACCCTTGCTGTGATGAAAGTTAAAATCAGAACGAGAAACGACCTTGCTCAGAGCGAAAACAATCGACGAAAAAGGCGAATTCCCGAAACGACTTGCTCCGACGACCGACGAGCGACGCCGACGCGACGTCGCGACGCCATGGCAGGTGTCGCCGTAATCAGCCGAGCAAGCATGCCGGTCGCCCGGACCGGACAAACGCGTCGAGTCTCCCATCTCGCTTCTCATCGCGAGCTTTCACTGCGAAAGCGCCACGGAAAACATATCCGCGTCACTTCCAACATTAGATCTATTCTTCCGAGCTCACCATGAACAAATCGCAGAAACAAGAGACCCTCCACTGGTATCTTGGCCATGGTGGAAGCTTTTACTTTCGGGACTTCAGCATTCTACTGTTGGCTTACCTACATGATTGGTTGATGTTTACCAACGTGTTGGCAGTTTTGTTTTGCAAACAAGCAGAAAATGGCCGAAGTTTGGGAAACTTGTTTGGCTTATGACGTCACCCGAAGCCAATCATCTACCATGCAGGTAGGTCAACAGCCGAAATTAGGGTGATGACTGTTGATTCCTTATATAATTGTACATAAGGCAATGTTGAATCCCCGAAAGAAAAAGCTTTTTTTTCTTCCTTCCGTCTTTATTCCTTCTTTATTACGAGCAAACGGGGGCGGGGNTTCGGGGTGCACCCCCTGAGTCCCCCTGCCCTCTCTCAGGATCCGCCTATG